CATATAATCATTCCATACGGGAAGGGCTGGATCCTCACAAAGGCTGTCTTGAAACACTTGGAGTCTCTTTGGGATGAGTGGAGGGATCTATGGATTTCTGGACCCGTTGGAACTCTGGGCTGAATTCTACCTCCATGATTTCTGGACCCGTTTGGAACTTGTTGGACCCGGCTGAATTCTGCCTCCATGATTTTTTTTCTGGACCCGTTGGAGAAGAAGAAGGAGCTGGAAGAGGTTCTGGACCTGTCTGAGGAGTCCGAAAGAGGTTGCCTGTTTGAACAAGTCGGGGAAGAAGAAGAAGAAGCTTCTGGATTCTGAAGCGGATCTTTGCACGCCAGGTAGGTTCCGGTAAGTCGACCGTTTTTTAAGAGGTAATTTTTTTTCTTCCTCCTCATCTTCAATTGTGATGACTTCAATTTCATTCCGTTGCCGGGTCGATTTTGTTTCGGGCCAATGACGGTTTGGTCCAGCTCCTCTTATCATCTAAGGAAGGGATGGGTAAAGGTGGCGGAGGGTTTTCTTCTTCTTTTTCTTGAAACATCATCGGCGATTGGAAAGAAATCTCCTCTTTCAATTGTTTCCAAAGCGAGTACGAGCACCGATCGACGAGAAAGAGACTCTTCTGGGTTGTGACGATGAGATATTGCGTTTTCGGGGAACGACATAGTTTTGAAAAGGTCTTAGAATATATTTCTTATATTTCATCCTGTCGCTGACTTTAAAACTTCTTTCCTTCAGATTGGGGGACGATGATTCGTAATAGGCGAGAGGAGCGGCTGTGGTTTGAACAATATGAAACTTCGTCCTCAGCCGTCGTTCTCACTCCAAACGTAAAATATCGTTTCGTGAGAAAAATATTCTTCCACCACCGAAAACTCGTGCGCGGATCCGTATATCGCCGGTCTGTTTGAATGGGCCGTCTCAAAGCTCGATCCATCCGATTCCAAGAGAAGGGAGATTCCTCTTTCGTTTGTTGCGATTCGAATAAATTTCTGTATATATTCTGAACGAGCAGGTTGGAGGATTCGACATCTTGGTTGAAAGAAACGATCGCTTGATGAGGTGGTAAATGCGGAATAAATGTCGCACAATGACACGCCAAAAAATTTTCAAGTTGGAGATTTGCTTTAGCGTCTTCAAATCCTCCCCGTTCGAAATCCGTTGAGTTGGAAAAACGTCTAATAGCGACATGGCTCCCAATGGAAAAGAAATGATCTCGCCCAGTACTCTCGCCTTTTTATATATCACATAGACACATAGAGGCTCTATGACGTCCGTTTTATTTGTTTTTTTTTTTTCTCTCTCTCTTCTTTCCAAGAAATCTTATCTCCATGACCTCTTTTTCTTTCTTAAAAAGATGAATGTGTGTGTGGGAATGAGGAAGTGAAAGTAATAATTTAATAAAAAAATTATCCAACCATGACCTTCTTTTTTTTTTCAAAGTCACCCTTTCCAATCCAAGGACGTCCAGAGATAGAGGAAGCAAGGGAGAGGAGGGGAAGGGAAGGTCACACTCTCTTTCTCTCTATAAATAAAAGGGGAGAGCCCCAAAAAGTCGTATTTTTTGTCCAAGTGGATCATGAGGAGGCATCCCCAGCTCACTACGTGTATTCCTTTCAAATATAAATATGTTGATCTTTCCTTTTATATCATCCAAGGAGTCGTTTACCTGAAAGCCTCCGATTTTCAAAATGTGCGGGTTATCATATACCGTGGGGAGTTATCAAAAGATGCGGGACGAATTTTTGTCCGACGAAAACGTGTTGATGGCTCGTGACATTCCACCTTTGGATGCACAAATTTTGTTAATGAAACGAGCCAAATATTTTTACACGTCCCACTTTCTAACCGTCTCGCAAATGAATAGGATTATGGATCGTCTTGAGAAGACAAAAGGGATTCTCGTTCATTTTAGTGAATGGTTGCACAAATGTTTGCACGAACCTCTCTCGATCGAGAAGACTGGGAAGAATACCTATTATATTCTTCTCGAGGACTCTCCTCTTCGTCTCATCATAGAGAGGCCACGACTTTTGAAAAAATCCTCGAGCAAGAAAAAATAGAATGGTGGAACAACTACCCCATCCCTCTCCCCGAGCATCAAGAGGAGCCTGTTCAGAAGAAAAAGAAAAAACCTTTCCAAAAGCCTATCATCATCCTCGAATGATGGATGAGGATGAGAAGAAGCCTGTTCAGATTCCTCTCCGTTTGTCAAAACCCGTCGAGGATGAAAAACCTCTCCATTTATCAAGACCCCTCGAGAAGAGGACCCCTCCTTTTCAAACCATGAGTAGGACTAAGATGGATCGCCTAAACAAGTTCCCGACTGCCGAAGCCGGCGATCCACGTGGTGACCAAAAATTTTATTTACCATGATTTCAAGGGATGACGCGTTCGGATGTAAATATTTTGTAATTACGTCGTAAATATACATAGAAATGTATATATTTTCTTTTTCTACAACACTTCAGAGTCCTAAGTATATGAAAACAACATATTTTAAACAACATTTCATTCTGAACGGAATTAAATGCTATACTTTTCACAGGACAGTTTTCTCAGAACAGTTTAATTTGAATGAAAGATTTTTACAAGTTTTCGTTAATTACATTAGAAAAAAAAATTAAGGTAATTCGATTTTATTCGGTCAAGGTACAAAAATTAAGATAATTCGATTTTATTCGGTTAGGGTACAAAAATTAAGATCAACGTTTATTGTATTATTAATATTAAAATTATGCATTATTTCTTTTCTATTTATAGAGCTTCTTCCTAAAATACCTTCTTAAATATGACATGATTTTTTGGATTCTGAGGCATGTTTTAAATCGAAAAATGTAAGTCAATTTATAAATAATGCTCTATTCGGTTCATTTTAAATTAGAGAATTATTAGGAATTAGCGAAATACTTTAAATAGTACTTAACTTTCCCTGAACATTTCTGAAAGGGGATAAAATAAGGTTTTTTTTAAAGTATTATTGAAAACTTATAAATTAGTTATTTTTTTGGCGATATCTAGCCCTTTTTCGAAGACTTTTCGAATCGCAGAAATCAACATCAGGAACACCTAAGCTACGATTCTCGATGAGAAAGATGGCTGAGGAAAGTGGGATTAAATCATCCGGATTTTCGGGCAGATACGTAAGAGGTCTAGAGTTAATTATTGACTCGCAGTCGCACAATACTGTGTGCAACTCCTCGGTTGTAAGAACCGCGTTACCGAGTGTACTTCTCAACATTTCCTTTACTACCCGAACTAACCTCTCCCACCAGCCTCCCCACCAAGCGGCTGTGGGAGGATTAAACTTCCATATTATGCGTTGTATAGCCGTTTGCCTAAAAATTTGTTCCCAATCAATACTAAGTTCTCTTTGCGCTCCTCAGAAGTTATTTCCGTTGTCGGAATAAATTATTCTCGGCTTCCCTCTTCTGGCTACGAATCGTCTCAATGGCAACAAGAATGCGTCGGTAGACAATGAGGAAGTCAATTCCAAATGAACGGCTCTATATATTGCACATGTGAACAAAACAATCCAACCTTTTTCACCTCCATTCACATACAAGGGTCCTGCCAAATCAACTCCTACCACCTCAAACACCGCTGCGTCATTGACACGATCGCTTGGTAGCGACACCGGCTCGCAATCGGGAGACTTGGCCTTGTATCGATTGCATCTTACACAATTTTTTACGACTTTCCTAACCGCTCTTCTGCCCCTCACTGTTCAAAATCGCTCCCTTAATATTCCGAGTAATATTTGGGTTCCAGCGTGACAATTTTGTAAATGATAATATTCTGTCAGACGCTGGGTGAAAATGCACCGGCAAATAATTGGCGAAATAAATTCAGGGTCGTCTGATCGCTCTGTAATGCGCGTTTGCACCCTTTTTATACCCTCACTGTCTGAAATGACACTCATATTGGGAATAGAGTCGGCGGAGAGAAAATAATTATTTTGTACACTTTTTATAAGAATTTTTTCGGCGTATTCCATCTCATGAACGGTTAAATCTCCAGTCTCTCGAAATGAATGTTTACCTTTTGCGTTTTTCACAAACCGCAATATCCATGCGACTAATCGAATGATGGATTGAAAATTCGAAAACTTAATTGCATACCAAGGTATTTCCTCTTCAACTGAACTAAGGTTACACAATCTGACTTTCCTTTTTTCTCGTTTCTACCTCAGAGGTCTCGTAAGCCAAACGGTCTAGTGGCCAGTTGTTATTAGGTTCCAGGAGCCAGGAATGGACCCTCCCACCAAAGAGAATCGGAAAATGAACGAGGGGAACCTGCCTCTTGAAAGCATATCTGCCGGGTTTAAATCACCTGGTAACATGGCGCCAACACTGAGAAGGAATCAGACTGTTATTTCTTTTACCCTATTCGCAACGAAAACTGACCAATCACCACGGTTCTTAATCCACCAGAGTGGTACCATAGAATCAAACTTCATGCAAATAATTTTCAAATCAGGCAAGTCTAAGGCGGCGTATACTGAGTGAACCAGTCTCGCGCCAATGCAGCAGGCCATCAATTCTAACAGGGGTATTGTCAGAGATTTTAACGGCGCTATCCTGGATTTGGCTCTGATCAATCGAATTTTGACTCCCACGGGAGTTACAGTTCTAATGTAAACACTTGCACCATAGGAACTCTTACAAGCATCAACGAATAGATGTAGCTCTGAATTCTCATTTATCTCTACATATCGTGGAATACTAATTTTCTCAAGATATTTAATTTCATCCTGCCACTTATGAAAAGTTTTCTGAATGTTATCTGGCAAGGGGTCATTCCATTTTAATTTCATAGTCCAAGCTTCCTGTAATAGTAACTTAGGTAACAAGGTAGTTTCACTCAAAAAACCCTGCGGATCAAAATTTTATGTACCATAGCCAAAATATTACGTTTACATATCTCATTATCCATTGAATAATTAAGATTTCATTTTTATGTATCGTTATCCAAATCCCATAAGATTCCAAGAAGAGAAGTTATACCTGAACTACGGGAAATACAATGACCTGGAACATTACTTTCCCAACCCGTAGGTTTCCCTGAGCCATTACTTCTGTAGCCTTAGTTATAAAACTTTCTTGCTGTTTGATATCGTGAACCCCAGTGACACAATTGTCAACATAAAACGAATGCTTTAATTTTTGGGTCACATCGTCAAAATCGGCAGGGGAATTATTCAACAGATGCTCTATAGATGCAAAGAGTTGGAACAGAGACGAACAAACGCCGAACACCACTCTGCAGTGTCTGTAAATCATAGGTTCTTCAAGAGTTGGAAGAAAAAACCTCAAATAATCTCTACGTTTTGGGATAATACTCAGCTGAAGAAACGCTTTCTCTATATCGGATGATAAACCAACGGAATACAATCTAAACCTGTCAATTATATCAGGTATGAGTTCAATTAAATTCGGCCCTCTATTTAAACAGTCATTTAGGGATGGTTGATTTCTCTCTCGGGCTGAAGCGTCGAACACCGGCCTTACCTTCATTGTCTGGCTAGTACGCCTTATAAGAGGTCTATGGGGCAAATAATAACTCAAATTATCAATTTCAGTTTCAGGAACCTCTTCAATTATTTTTAGGTCTTCCCATTGCTTAAAAATTACCTTATAGTCATCTAACTGATTTTCCTCATTAATTCGTTGACACATTCTTTGATGTCTTTTGAAAGTCATAGACTTAATGTTAGGTAACAGAATTTCAGATTTAAAGGGTAGTGGCAATTCATATCGGCCATCAGGAAGAACATTTAATTTCTCTTTAAATTGCTTAACGGTGTCAGAGTGAGCAAGTTTACGTTTAACATCTTCAGTTGGATCTGTTATGCCAATGGCATCTAAATTCCAGAGTTCGGTTACGCTAAGATTAGCACAATGCAACGAAACTACATTATTGCACAAATTATTTTCTAGTAATGCTGGAATAGTAGCTGAAGTAGGTTCTTTAGATAAGCTGTTTACTTTACCAATCACAGTGTATCCGAATTTAGTCTCAACTACAGTTACACCCGAGTTCAGTTTCAGAGAACTGCCAGTAATAATGTCCCCAATGGCATCTGCTCCTAAAAGCAATTCAATGTCATATTCTTTAGCTTGCAAATCAGACAAGGTAATATTTCTTTCTTTTAATTCTTTCAGGGTATTGTGATCAACTACTTTTGGAACACATCCACATATTTTGTTTTGAGAAAGTACTTCAAAGTTATGGTCATAAGTGCCCTCAAAATTTCTTAAATTAACATCAAACACTAAATGGGAATGAGGACTTGTCTCTCTTCCCCCAAACAAACCGTGTATAATGGTTTGTTTCGATTTAGGACGCAGTTGCAAAAACGCGATAACCCTTTCTGAAAGATTAAGATTTCTGAGAACCACTGTCCAAAATCGTACGAACTGTAAGTTGTCTACCCTCAAAAACTATTTTTAAAACAAGTGTTTGCAAATACACATCTTCATTAAGAGTTGACTGATTAGACAATGCATTACTTGAAATAACAGTGCTGTCAGTTTCATTTGGCTTTACAGATTCGCCATTTGAGCATATAATGGTATAGTGAAATTTATCACATGTTAAACATTTTACTTTAGTTTTGCATGCCCCTGAACTATGTCCAACTCATAGGCAGCGAAATCAGGCGCTCTTTTGCACCAAAAGTTTTCGTTTATCTTCTAAAGACATTTTGCGAGCAGAAAAACATTCGGCAGAATTGTGGGATTTCTCACAAAAAATACAACGTAAATTTCGCCTACCTGTATTGTCTTGAACATTTACCAAGGCAGCAGCTGTAGAGCAACCCGGATCATCACAATAGGGACGCGAATGTGCAGAACGTGAAGCTCCCAACCCGGTACGAGCGAGCTTAATCATTTCCTCACTTTTGCACTTCGTTTCGAAGAAAGCACAAATGTTTATCCAAAGAACGCGCACTATTTTGCTGTGACGCAGTATCTTCCATCGAGCGGCTTCTTTCCCACGCACGAACAGTCTCAGGTAAACAAGACTCAACAAGTGGTTCCAAAAATTCTGCAAATTTTTCCTTAGTTCTACCGAGGAATTCGAGTGCCATAAGCTTGCTCTCAAGTAAATCATAAAGTTCAGCTAAATCTCCTTTGATCCTACCAGCAGCATTTTTCATTACTATGGAAAGTAGATCCCGTACATAAATCTGAACCAAAAGTTCATCTCTTCCGAAGCGTTCTTTAAGTTGTGCAATCACCTTTGAATAATTTTCTTTAGTTGACGGTAAACTTGTTACCAGTCTTGACGCTTTAGAATCTGCTACCACACATTATAAAAGATAGTGAAATTTGTCTTCGTCCACAATGGAGAGGTCGTTGTGAATTTTTTCAAACTGGGACCAAAAAGCAAGAAAAGTCTTTCGGTTCTCCACTAAATTTCCTCAATTCAAGTTTCGGAAGCTTGAATTTAATTTTTTGCTCGATTGTTGTTCCTTCCGTAACCAAATTTGCCTTCTTTGCATTTTCTAACAGCGAACAAATTAAGCAGAACTCGTCTCAGTATTCTTCTGCTTTCAAACATTCTTCGGAATATTCATCTTGAAGAGCATCATCACTCAGCAACAAATTCGAAACTTCTCCTTGTGTTGTTTCCAAACGTGTGAATTTGTCTTGAATCTGCCGAAACGACGTACTGACTTCTTCACTTCCTAAACTTTTGTTTTCGATCTTCTGAGCTATATCGCTGCAGCATACCGTAAACGCTGTTCTCAGCAACTTTCGTTTTGCTTTCAAGACTTTTATATCCATATTTCATCAAAAAGATAAAGTAGCGGACGCCAGATTTACTATGTTGCAACTCTCAGGGCTACAACGTGCAGGTTACCAATTAAATAATCACAGCAGGAATTATTAATATAAAGATTTAATATGGATATCTCACACAAGCTGTAAAACGTTACATTACTCTAGAACTGCATGCATATAACTGAGTGAAAAGGGAATTTCCCCGCTTAGTTCGCAGTTAAAGGAAAATAAAATAAGAATAATAAAAAATAGTCCAATCAAATGCGGCGCTCGATTTCTCTAAGCCGTTACGTAATCGTCTGTCAGCAGCAGCCGTCTCCAACAAGAATATAAAAAAAGGGAAAAGGAGGGAACGAACGAAACCTTTTCTATATTTCTCTCGTTTTGGAAGTGTTCCAAGCCGACCCGTTCTCTTTTCGAAAAATCCAACAAAATTAGTTTTTTTCCCGAGGTGACCTTTACAGGACAACTCCTTCAGTCCTCTTATGTGAAACGGTGACCCTGACGAGATCGAGATAAACATGTCATGTGAGTTGTTTTGCGACCTTGATGAAATACAAGAAAGACTTTTTGTATTTTTGGAATAGGGGGGATCATGAGGGAGAGGGGTAAAACAAAACGTTCTCACGACCCTCACATATCATTTCATAAACATATTTTTATCAAAGTGTTTCTTTCATCACGATCCTTTTTAAAAAAAGGTTGGAATGACCCTCACATTTTGATGTGGTTGCGATAACGTTAGCTGTCGCGCGTTGCCACGACCCTTACATATCATATCATTTCTTAAATATATTTTTTAACAAAGGATTTCTTTCATCGTGAACTTTTTTAAAAAAAGGTTGGAATGACCATTTTGATGTTGTCGCGATAACGATAGATGTCGCGCGAGTATAAAAGTGTGTGTTCTCCGCGAGATTTCTTCAGAACAGGAGAAGACGTGAACTGAGCTGGTAAGTCCATTTTCGGGAAAAAGAATCTCAAAGGCTGGAAAAAAAACTTTCCCTTTTCCGAAAGAACATTTGGAGGGAAACGGGGGGATGGTCCACAACATCCCTGTTACTGAACAGCCTACGGGTAGCTGGTGAAATCTCTGGATCTAATGTGCTCAGTGGACGACCCGTTGTTTTACCATAGGAAAAGTATAGGGAATGAAGATTGCTACCTAATGGTTTGTCTAAGGGCGAACAACGGGTCGCGAGCGGAACAGAATGACAACCCGTTGTTCGCCCATAGGAAAAAGCATAGAGAGGACGAAGATCACTACCCAATGCTTTGTCTATGGGCGAACAACGGATCGCGAACTGAATACAACGACAACCCGTTGTTCGCCCACAGGAAACGTATAGAGAAAAAAATATCCATCTCCATGCTATGTCTATGGACGAACAACGGGTCACGAAAGGAACAGTATGAAAACCCGTTGTTCGCCCGTAGGAAAAGCATATAATGAAGATCGCTACCTGTGTTTTGTCTATTAGACATTATAAAAAATGAGCTCTACCCTCTTTTTTTTGTTTAAGTAATGTCTTAAACTATTGTCAGGATTCTAAAAATAGATTTTCAAGAAAGGAATGTTCTATTTTTTAGGAACATGACGAGACATGTTGGGAGATGTTTCCAACAAAAAAGGATGGGTATCGTTTAGACATTTTAAAAATTAACAAAAAGTTTTTTTTTTAAATCTTGACTTAGAATTTTTTTCTAACCTCTGAGAAATTTTTCGAGTCACCTCGATCGACGAGACCTTACTAGTTTTTTAAGAATGGATTTTCTGTTATCTATTTCAGCATTTCCCATAGTGTGACCTGGTAAGACCCCACCTGGGTAAGATATGACTCATCATTCTTTTCTTAGAAATCTATTTTTAGGAAGGGTGTGACATCATTCCCAGAGAAAAAGGGTGGTAGAGTTAATTTTTATAAAAATTAACAAAAAGGTTTTTTTTTTAATCTAGGCTGAAGAATTTTTCTGAGAGAGCTCAGAGAGATTTCTTTCCAACCTTTTCCGACGATGGAAAAGAAAAAATACTGATCTGATTTCCCTACGCTTTAGCGAAAAAAATACTTATGAAATATTCATGTGTTGAAATTCCGACGATGGAAAAGAAAAAATACTGATCTGATTTCCCTACGCTTTAGCGAAAAAAATACTTATGAAATATTCATGTGTTGAAATTGGCTATTCAAATGAGTTGCGTTCTGTTTCACCGGTGAGTCCACTTGTCTCGTTCTTTGGGGTAGTGAATGAGAGTACAGCGGTTTGTTGAAATCGATGATAGTTTCCTCTTTAGCCGGCGGAACTGTAAACCCATCCCGTCTTAATTCTTCTAATCTCTTTGAAAGTCTTTCCACTTGTTCTGCTAAGGTTTCCTCGGTACTCATGGTCTCTCTTAGTTTAGGAGGGAGAGAGTCCAGACATATGGATACACACAGTAAGGATCATGTTCATGAGGAAACGATGTAGGAATTTATATATAGAGGCGTTTGGTTGATAAGAAGACCGTTGAGAGTTTCGCAAAATATTTTTTCCCCTTTTCTTTCAAAAGACTTTCTCATCGGCCGTGAGATAACAAACAAACAAACAAACAAACAAAAAAAAAAAAAAAAAAAAAAGGATGGTGATAAAACTTATTTGCTAGAACAGAGTAGAGTGCGGGAGATTGTGATCCATGGATCATGATGAAATCTTTCTCTATACGTCTTGTGTAACTTGTACCATTTTTTTTTCTCTTCTCGTAGACTTTGTTGGAGTTATTGAAAAGAAATGGAATGGGAAAGAAATAAACACATAACGTAAAAGGAACTCTTTTTATTATTTTCTAGGGATTCAACTATAAAAACTCATACAAGTCCATTAATGAACATTCAAGGCATCTCTCCAAGACCAAATTTTAGAAGAGGACCATAAAG